CGCAGAATCTACCACCGGATCGGAAACGCGACCCACTGAGAAGATCCGACGAGAAACTCAGTGGGCTGTGTCTGAGGGTTAATTTACTCGTCGAGCCCTTCGTCGCAAGCGACGGGTTCGACGGAGGCTTATTGTACAGTCAACACTATGTGGATGACGTGACGCGTGTGGGTTTGAATTTGTTCTCTACACGGCAACAGTACGAGCAAATCTTTCGTCCGTGCTCGGACCCAGATCTGTTTCTTTTAATTTAGTCATCCTTATTAAATTTACTATCGGCAAGGACAGAGACGAGTGGAAAAGACTGGAGAGGCCTTCACCTGAGAAGTGGTCCATATCCAGTAGCAGAAACTAACTCTTATTAACATTTAGGCAATAAGCAAAACATCAATAACTAATTAAACATTAACAAACAGATACCAAATTCGAAATGGAAACTAAGGATAAACAAATACACTTTTTATTTTTTATTTTATGTACTACCAGCGCTTCCCGCGCACTATAATAAAAATTTCAACGATATCTGACTTATTGCTGCATTACCATAATAGATATCGCGACACTTTTTGTAAATAATAATATGTTCTACAAAGTCGTAGTACATTAATTTATTCTATCATCAATAGTTTTCGCAGGGGACGCGATGTAAAGAATATTTTAGGTAATTTTTTTTACATCTTGAGTTACATTATTGTAGTTCTAATAAGGATCCCTAATTTATTTCAAAAAACATTATAGCCTATGTTACTCGGGAATAGTGTAGCTTCAAAACAGTGAAAGAATTTTTCCATTCGGTTCAATAGTTTCGGGGCCTATTCAATACAAACAAACAAATCTTTCCTCTTTATAATATTAGAATAAATATGAGTTTCGTGTTGATTTTTCTTAGTATTGAAACTCCATTTGGAATCGGCAGTAAGTCATAAAGATTTAAAGTATTTGTCAATGCCTAGTTGAATAATAAACTTTTTGTTTTTTTATTTCTATGTGTTTCGGAAACCACTTAATACCAGGTGGGGGCTCAGCTTGTCTGCCTGTTTCATGCACTATTTTTCGTGCTTTGATGGTAGAGGCACAAGTCTTTTCGTGAATTGCTAATAGCATTAAATATATTCAAAGTTTCAATTCAATTCGACGACTTGCCAACCGACCAACAAATCAAAAAAACATTAGTTTTATTTTCTAAAAATATGCTTAATATATGACAAATCCAATAAAATTTAAATAAATATAATATATGTAGTTTTTAATTCTTATTATTTTGTTGAATTTAATTCTAAATTATTATAGTTAATTAACGAGTTGTTTAAATTTTGAATTGTAAATGAATGTAATGTAAATGAATATTTCAGTATGAGAAACCATACAAACGATTAACTATTGTAACCTGTGGTACGCGTAGATATTCATGCGATTAAGCGGGTTCCCATTTGGGGTACATGAAAATTATGTGGAAATGCTGAGAAATTAATTCATTTCACTTATATAAAAATATTATGATGTCTTGATGATTACAATATGTGGTTAAAAATGAGCTTTGTAAATTAATAAGAATCGAATTAGATAGATAAACCTTAAGAGAAACGAGACGCATTTTTAGGACTAAGTATGGGGATTATGGGGTATTCATATATGAAAAGTTTTATTACCGGAATTAAAAAAGGTTGGGACGCACCTAGCTAGGGATAGTTCGAAATATTCCGATTAACAGTATCACAAAACAAAATTTTATTGGTTAAATATTATTTTGTGTTTTATTTGCATTTTTTAAATAAGATGTTCTTCGGTCATTATCTTTGTATAGAGATAGACACTTTGCCAACTGTGCCGAGTATCATGCTACATTAAAAAGACGATAATAAATGCCAACATATAGTATTAATTGCTAAGAATGTGTGTAATTGATTAGCTAGATTACGTTATTCATAATATTAAAAAAAAACACTGTTTGAAGAATTATCAAGGCACGGTTCGTGTTCTTCTTTTGTTAAAATTGTCCGAGTTGATAACTTTTATCACAATAAGTGACCTCAGACAGTGTCTTGTGAACGGGCGGCCCAATTAGCAAATTGAATCACTGTACATTGTGCCTCACGATATAATTGGCATATCTATCGAGTTACTTATCGTTTTACTTAATTGCCTTTCTGACCTGAACGTATCTACATAATGTATTTTACGGTCGTGATTCCGAGAAACAGATTCTATTGTCTTCATGTCGTCGTACACCGGAACGCGTAATAACAACTTGAAACTTAACGTGAAGAGGAAGCGCGGTGTTTGCGCACTGCGTGGCGCTAATTTTGCGAAACGTCAGTGTGGGGGAGGCGGGGGTGACACGAGGGCGAGGGCTGTCTGCGAGCCCGCACCTTCGTCCTGATGACCTACATACAGAGCCCCGCCGGCGGCGTCGCGCTCTCCCCCGTTTTTGTATATCTACACTGCAACGTATAGTATATTGCAGTCTTTAAATTAACTACATAGTATCGTATAGGCTTTGATCGAAATTTTAGAGTTATTGAATACTAGTTGACCCGGCAGACTTCGTAGTGCCTCAATCGACAAATAAAAGATCTGAACTTTTGTATAAAATAAACTTAAAACAATGAAAGGAAAAACAAAATTGTTATTTCTATTTAATTCCGAGCATTTTCATATTTATTTACCTTTTAAACCTTCTCTGGACTTTCAAAAATAATTCAAGATTAAAATTAGCCAAATCGGACCAGCCGTTCTCGAGTTTTAGCGAGACTAACGAACAGCAATTCATTTTTATAATTATATAAAGATAGATTCAATTGTTTTATTCACATTATTTTTGGTTGTAAAGGTAGCTAGATTATTCGGCTCATCTGATAGCAATCGGTGACTGTCGTTTGTGGAGATCAGCAATACCAGGGTTATAGCAAAGTCGATGATTACAGTCACAACGGCGTGATTATTTTTGAATGCATTTTTTGGCTTTGTACCGTATCAGTGATTATAAGTTTGATTCCTTTCTTTTATGTTAAAACTGAAATGGGAATTTGTTTGTTTGTTTTTGATATAAGATTTTCATTAGTAAAACGAGACACGCATTGTAAAAGCTAGGCAATAAAACAATAAAATAATAAAATAATAAATATTATATAATACTGGGGTCTGTTCGGTTGCGATATTCTTCCCATCTTCTTAATTAATTAATTATGAATTTTGTAAAATGGAAAGTTTTTTCCTCTGCTAGATCTTCTTTAGATAGGAGCTGAGCTTTTAATTGACTTAGAAGGTCGAGTATCCATTGATTGAAAGGAACTGACCATTTCAGGCCCTATTATTTGCTTCCGGCATTCGTTGGACTGGATTAGAAAAATCTTCAAGGGCTGGCAGTAAGTAATAAATTAATACCATCTTAATCTCCTATCACCTATCTGGTGTATACGGTTTCCGGTGTCCCATATAATGTGAATATCGCCGAAGAACACGAGGTAACGCATAACTAGGTCTCATCAGAATTAGGTGAGATGGTGGTGTCCATGAGTGGCCAATGCAGGCCCACAATTTTTTACTATCAACGCGAATCCTTCGTCGAAGTCGTTANAAGTAATAAATTAATACCATCTTAATCTCCTATCACCTATCTGGTGTATACGGTTTCCGGTGTCCCATATAATGTGAATATCGCCGAAGAACACGAGGTAACGCATAACTAGGTCTCATCAGAATTAGGTGAGATGGTGGTGTCCATGAGTGGCCAATGCAGGCCCACAATTTTTTACTATCAACGCGAATCCTTCGTCGAAGTCGTTACAGTTTAAGTACATTATTAGGAATGAAATAATCGAAGATAAAGCTCATCATAGCACTATCGACTATGACTTAACTGTTAAGCGTGAAAGACTTACCATTATAAAATATTCACATTTAGTGTGCTTTCAAAATTTCAATATAGGTTTAATAATTCATATTATTAAGAAGGGAAATTTTGAGTGCATTTTAATATAAGAAGCTTAATTGAGAACTTTATTGGTTTCACACACATGACTTTCCCAAAGGCGCTATGTATGATGAATGGTTATGTTTAAATAATTCAACAATTTGTGCTAATTTTCATATAACCTAAAATCAGATGTAGATATCGGTTGATTGATCGGTATTGGAGTCGTTTTCAAATTTGGGGCCAAAAGCGAGTTACTAATTTGATTTAATTCTCATAACCTTAATGTTACCGTAATTATATGTACATACAATAAATTTGTTGTCATGACAACAGGCACGTGGTCCTATAACTATATATTCGTAAACAGTGTTCAATTAGGAGTTCAAATCTCATTCGTATCACTGGTTCGAAATTCAAATTCTAACTTGTTTGCTATTTTTCCTATAATGCGTGTTGAAATTCCGAAAATTTATTAAACAGTATATAATACGATAATAAAGGCAAAATAGCTGGATATTAGAACATTATTAAAAACAAAAGAAGTACGATTTCTAAGCTTTTAAAAAAAGTTCCTATTTAAATTGTCATCCGTTTTGGCGTTATCGCCGTTATCAAATGAGTAAAATGAAAAATATAAATGAATATTATATAATATTTTCAATAAATGAGTGATTGACTTGATAGTGATGAAGCATTTTTCATTGAAAACGAAAATTGAAAACGACCAATTGGGCTTAATGTAAACTAATGTAAAATTAAGTTAGTTCATAAAATTAATAATAATGAATAATATGTACTAATGTACACATAAGCCAGTATTAACCATAAAGTGTCCTTTAAAAATCAAAAGCGAAGCCTATGAAAACGCTATAATAATAATATTAATTATACATTTACTATACAAGTTCAAATGATTAATCTACGAGCGTTATCTACTATTAAAAATTAATTATTATCGTTCTTGAAATGTGAACCGAGGCATGTGTGTATTTATGTAAAATAGCACGTGCTCATTTGTTGGCGGAACGGATGTCCGACAGGTAAGCACTCTGTAGTGTAGTGGAGTTCGGCAGGATGTACTGACCGGTGTATGAGGGCGTGTCGGGCGGTGGTGGCGGCGTCGACTCAGTGGTGTTGGAGGGCGCGTTCGGATAAGCGATCGCCGACGGCACATCTTCCGCGGCGCGGGCGGACGGGCCGGGGGGAGGCGCACAGAGCACGACCAGCCGCAGCAGCGCCACGCACCACCACCAGAGCACGGCGGCCAGCGCGCGGGCACAGCGCCCGACGCGGCCTGGGGCCTTCTTGCGACCAAAATACGCGCACCCTCAACTCGTGCACCGAACGGCTCGCTGTCAGCCGGAACCTTGTGCGGCGTCAACACGGCTGGCGAGGCAACGCGGGTGCGCGCGCGCGGCCACACGGCGACTGGAGCGCCGTTCCCGAAAGCATACGACCGCGCCCGAACACTATTTCGGGAGCGACGCTCCGCGCCGCTGCCGCCGCCCGCCCGCCACACGCTGCCAATTTTACGCGAAATTGCGGGCGGGCGGTGATGCGATATGTACCCACAGTACGGCCACCTGCATATCTGCTGTGGTGCCGCTAAATGACGTAGTATTATAGCGATCGATTTTTCCAGGTTGAAAGTGAAACGTTGGTAAGATAGTGAGAAGCCGACTACGCCTCTATCATCGCTACTGTTTGACACGTGCACCATTCGTCTACACTCAAAATAGTCGGCGGTGAACGTGTTGCTGGTGTCGTGTCAATAGATACAATGTCGCAGCACACGCTGCTATTGGCAAGGAAACAGAGACTCGCACTATCTCACTGTCTCGTGCTCTGTGTTGTGAATTCTTATGCACGGTATATATTTAGACATAAAATTATTTCTGATATAGATAGGTGTTTGACATAACGTTGAACTCTCATACGTCGGGGTGTTCCACCTGCACAAATATTTTGAAGTGCAGGAGTTCAAATACAATCATCTATTTTTTTTAAACCTATTTGTTTTAATTCAAAATCGTCAAGTTAATTTTAAAAACACCTATAAAAGTTTTTATTTAATATATAGACTTCGTTTTCATGTACGGAGAGTACTGAGGATATAATGGGAATCTTAGTGATCATAATATTATGTATAGTTGAAATTTCAACCATTCAATTTTCAAATTCATCAACGTAACACAAAAATAATACTTGGCAGATTTGTAACAAATAGACCTTGTAGTGATTTTCAAATATATCGGAAATATTTTCATAGCACGTCCATACCGAAAGGTTGTCAGATGACAGATAGAATTGCAAACCGACGTTATTTACAATAAATATCCAACGAAATGCAATAATTCTTGAGATAATTCTTACATGAACGGTGAGTTCAACGATCACCAGTGCAGTACAGACACATGTAGACGTTACAAGTTAAGTACAAATACGTTTGTCATACAAAAACCGACCTTAAAAAGGTAACATATCCTCTTTCAATTACAATCACTGTGCATGAGTGTCCTGACAGTCGTCTCAAACTAATCACGTTCGGTAATGGTACTCTCGTATCGTACACTAAGGTTTTAGTATTACGTTGTATAGTGTATATATGTATAGTATTGATAATTATTCAAAAATATTGTTTTATACGTTTGAAATACGTAAGTTTTATATGAACACTTCGGCAGGGTCGACGAGTTCAAGATCCGTCGAATACGTCCATATCTCAACACTACAAAAAAAACGTACTGAGTACGAAACAACTGAGTGCTCTGAGGAATTGTTTGAGATGATCCCCTCATCTCCTTTTTATCATCGCACCTCCCGCCATCGGAGCAGAGTTCATCCATATTATCTGGAACCGGTGCGTTTATCGGCAGTGCGTTTCCAGAGGTCTTTTTTGCCACGTGCCATCCGGCTATGGAATGAGCTCCCCTCCACGGTGTTTCCCGAGCACTATGACATGTCCTTCTTTAAAAGAGGCTTGTGGAGAGTATTAAGCGGCAGGCAGCGGCCTGGCCCTGCCCCTGGCATTGCTGAGGTCCATGGGCGACGGTAATCACTCACCATCAGGTGGGCCGTATGCTCCTTTGCCTACAAGGGCAATAAAAAAAAACTCGACTTTGGTTTTCAACTTTATTCCTCCGTTCCCTTAAACCTCCTTAGTTAAAAAAGTGTTAGATTTCGCATAATAGGCTACTTTGTATCATACATGTCGGTACTGAAATAAGGGTAAAATAATTTCTCTATTAATTCTAGTACTATTGTAACACAGCGCGATCCTTTCACCATAACACTTGTTTGTTTTACATTAGAGTAACCTGCCTTATATCTATGTCTATATACTTAAATATACTATACTGCCCGCAGATTCGTCTGCGCGGACTACAATTGACTATCCGGACGGAGACCCGCCTTCAGCAGTGGAATGAGAGGTAGTTTATATTATTAAATTATTTCCATACTCAATCTCGTCAAACTCGGTTAAATGATTTGAGTATTAATACGTAACAGACAGAATGCTTTCGTATTGGTAATGTAGTTTACTATGTAACTTCTAATATCGTCGTGTCGTTTTGTCGTCGTGGCCTAAAGGATAAGACGTCCGGTGCATTCGTATGTAGCGATGCACCGGTGTTCGAATCCCGCAGGCGGGTACCAATTTTTCTAATGAAATACGTACTCAACAAATGTTCACGATTGACTTCACGGTGAAGGAATAACATCGTGTAATAAAAACCAAACCCGCAAAATTATAATTTGCGTAATCACTGGTGGTAGGACCTCTTGTGAGTTCGCACGGGTAGGTACTACCACCCCGCCTATTTCCGCCGTGAAGCAGTAACGCGTTTCGGTTCGAAGGGTGGGGTAGCCGTTGTAACTATACTGAGACCTTAGAACTTATATCTAGAGGTGGGTGGCGCATTTACTCGTCCATCCATCTAAGCAATAAAAAAAATTTGCTATTTATTAACAATTCAGGTTCTATTTTCTCGTAGTCTATTATTTCAAACTTAATAATATTATGTTTACCAACTGTAACAAATACAAAATAAATAATGTTAGAACGGATTCTTGAAAGGATAAGAAAATATCTGATTCACATGTATTGAGAAATTTTCAGAACTCGTTAAATACGGTGAGATCGACTAATGCTGAATATAAGATTTCGGAGTTGGAGTGTATGAAGATTGTTAGGAAAACATGTTGAAGTAATAACCACTACGAGCGGATGAACATGAAGTAGATTCTTAGTCATAGAATGAAATTTAGTGGTGGTCTTAACTTGTAGGTATTTTAGGCAGTAAACTAGACAAAACATAATGCAAAAAAACAGTCTATAGGCTTTTTTTATTGCTTAGATGGGTGAGCGAGCTCACGAACCTCTTGATGTTAAGTGTTACCAGGGCTCAGACATCGAAAACACCTGAGACCTTAGTTCTATGTCTCTGTTTTGCAGTGCAACGGTAGTCCGACCCGAAACGCATTACTGCTTCACGGCAGAGTTGGGCTGGACAGTGGGACATACCCATGCGGGCTTACTAGACGCCCTTCCGCCGCTATTTATGTCCTGTATTTATTGTTACTTTTAGTCTGCCTCATTTGAGCTCTGGCTCATTCGCCTCCACCCAAACTTACCCTGCTTAATGTTATCAACGCGTTGAAATCTGGCTATTTCCTATAACTTCCATAAAATTTACTTAAAACTATAATACCTTTGCGGTTTTGCTTCTGTACTGTTAAAACTGACACCTTACAACTCGTGTCTCGAGGTGGGTGGTGGCATTTACGCTGTAGATGTCTATGGGCTCCGGTTACCACTGAACACTAGGTGGGCCGTGTGCTCGTCCACCCATCTAAGCAATAAAAAAAAGCGAGCGTATTTTATAGTAATAACATTATTTCAGACGTTTAAAAAATACTTCACGATTTAATTTATAGAAGTCCATGGCCACGAAAACTATTTCTGCGACTAATTTAATTATATCTTCGACTCGCGAAAACCTAAGACAATACCACAAAAAATAGTTCTTTTTTCTATCAACAAAGTCGGTTTACAAAACAAAAATAATTTTAAAGCGTATACAAAGTCCCGAGCGTACATTAGACTTGTCTTGTAATGCTCGTCACATTTCAAATTAGTCTTAAAATATGAAATACCTATATTTTATTTAGATCTAAATTTATTTCGAAGTCGCAAGTACACTTCGTTTTTTCCTTGTTCTTAAAATAGAAATACAAAGGAATCACTTTAATAATCACACAATAATTTGGTTCAAAACGTTTGCTTGAGCATGTATTTAAATAACAATAGAATTATCTATGAAATGTTGTGTTTTATCTATTCACAATGGGCACTGAAGAACGAGGTGGGTATATTAATAAAAGTTAAATTTTTATTTATGGGTCACGTATACTGCAAGTACTTCTTTAAAAGCCATTGACATTACTTTCCAAATGATTTCGATATCAAATACCGCTAGATACATCATCCCCAGAATTCGAATACTATCGGACGTGTGCAAAGAGACGTCTTGGAAATAGAAATGGATTGAATTAAACTAAATTTAATTCATCCCATTCGGAGACTATGCTCAAAGGTGTCTTCATTTGGACACAAGCTTAGATCGCCCCCCTATCTCACGCTCTGAGATTTAGTCTGGTTGTCTTGTCGCTACACCGCGTATTCTCTCAGCTATGATTTGCATAGTAATGCGAGCTGTCGCTGTTGTTTTATGGCATGTCTTTAATAATAATATTATATTCATGATGAAGTGTGTAGGAGATAGCAGAAATTCTTAGGAAATTGTATCACAAACAGATCTGGTCATAGCTAGTACGGAAACCACAAGTTACGGACATTGACTGTTCTGATCAACGCAAATTCACGGAAGACTGAATTATGAAGATTAAATTGCAACATATTTTTGTGATGTAGTGCGCTTCTGGTCCATCTTGGAACGATTACCTAAATAAAACCCATAGATATTATTATTTAAAAGCTCTCTCAAGGTTTCATTTTGAATAATGATTGTCTCATCTACCGTGCTCCGGTCATCGTTCAAGGGCTCGACGAGTAAATTAACCCTCAGACACAGCCCACTGAGTTTCTCGCCGGATCTTCTCAGTGGGTCGCGTTTCCGATCCGGTGGTAGATTCTGCGAAGCACGGCTCTTGGTAGGGTTCGTGTTAGCAACGTCGTCAGGTTTGAGCCCCGTGAGCTCACCTACTAGTTAAGGTTCCGCTGATATAGCCTCTCCAGGTAGGAAAAAAAAAACTACCATGCCNAAATTAACCCTCAGACACAGCCCACTGAGTTTCTCGCCGGATCTTCTCAGTGGGTCGCGTTTCCGATCCGGTGGTAGATTCTGCGAAGCACGGCTCTTGGTAGGGTTCGTGTTAGCAACGTCGTCAGGTTTGAGCCCCGTGAGCTCACCTACTAGTTAAGGTTCCGCTGATATAGCCTCTCCAGGTAGGAAAAAAAAAACTACCATGCCTGAGCAGCAAAGCGATAGGACCGAACTATGCGCCAACTATCAATAGTGTCGATAAGCTACTTGTAGCCGTTGCTCACTATCATTTTACATCAAAAGATTTTAATGATAGCTTACCGACTTAATACGACCGAATAACTTGTCCGTATATGAATCAATAAATTTTATGATTCGGGTTTTCCACCGGATTTCTCTCCAAATTTTATTGCACTAGATCAGCAGCCAGGTT